AGACATGAAAACTGTATGATTCGAGGTTTGTCACAAAAATACAATAGATTGTATCAAAATTCATTCTAAGCTTGCAAAAACAGACTGAAAAATTACGACTGGTTTCAAAAAGTGTATTAAGTTGTAATTTTTCAGAAAAAATTTTTTGGACCAATCAACCGAAGATGGATTTCGTAAAAAAGTACCAAACGAAGACCCTTTGGGATGTAGAATTTTGAGAGACCCCTTTACAACTTAAAACATGACGGAGAATTATTTGATCACGACAAATAATCCAGGCCTTATTTACTTCTCAATTAAAAAAACTAACAAAAAATCGTGCTCGGAGTGAATTTTTCTCCACCAATTTTGACTAGCCGTTTTTGACGTATCTTATGATTTTGAAACTATTGTTGATGTCCTGTGCTTGAAATCAAAACAATTTGTTTATTAAGTTATGGGGGTATGTACATTGTGAATTGGGGATAATTAACAGTGATATTTTCGCCAGCGACATCTGAATGATTTTTTTTCGCCATTGATATTTCAATGACTTAATTTGTAGCCAGCGACAAATTAAATCATTCATTGAAGCAGGCAATTTGTTTTTTTATTAGTTTTTTGCCACACCAAAATATACCACTTTGTATTTTACATAGCGTGCAAGGGGAACAATTAAAAAATATATGAAAAAAAATTCAGGTTTTTTTAGTTTTTGATTATTTTATCAGTTTTTCAGTTTTGTATTAGAACTTTTTATGGGAGCATTAAGATTAAAGTGCAGTCAAACGATTAAGTGCTTCAATCTGATATGAGCGTCTTGTTATTAATTTTTAAAATAATTATGTTTTGGAAGTTTATCAAAATTTTGAGCCAAAAATGATTTTGGACATCATAAAGGACTAGCAGAACACTCTAAATTTACCCTAATGCCAAGTTTAAACGTTGACAGTCATTGTATAATAAACCATTTTTTTTTTTCATTTCAGTTTTCAGCGTCTGTCCTCTGGCGAAAGTATATATTAACTATCACAGCAGGAACATTTGCGAGAAGCCAGCAGACAACCAGACTCTTTGTGTCATTTTGACAGATAGATAACCACCAAGCTGAGAGTTTTGTTTTTAAATGTACCTGGTTGTTAATTAAATTTAGACAAGCTAAACTCTTATGCAGTGACAGAATAAAAGTTGTCAAATTACTAGTCATATGATATCGTCACAGGAAAGAACAATTATCTTGATTCGTGATCAAAATAGTTCTGAAAAAACTGAAGAAATTTTTTAAAACTTAAACTGAACTTAAGTTGAACTTTTTTAGTTCCAACAAGTTTATTTTCCAACTGCTCCCAAAGCCCTAAAGACCTAATTTTGACAAAATTTTCTGCGCTGCAGGCAAAATTTAAAAAAAAATTGGCGAAAAATTCGATTTTATTTGGCGCGTGATCCCTCCGCGAAGCTGATAAATTTTACCGTCAAAGACACCTGTAGAAAACTTTTGAGATGATCACCATAAAATTGATGCCCTAATTTTTTACCAAAGGTCAAATCTCTGAGGAGGATTCCTTCTCCCTCTGCCCCCCCCCCCCCACCCCCCCCCCCCCCTCAAACCCACTACAGGCCTCACCTGCATTATTCGAGATTCTCTCTATCCCAAACTTTAAATAGATCAAATAAAAAAAATTAGATCATTTACAATTGTACTTAAACAGTGGAGAGTTGGTTGAAATATGTACCAATATGGGCTAAAAAGTGCAGAGAGGTGCACTATTGAGCGTCTGTTTATCACTGGAATCCAGAGACAAGTAATTAAATTTTTTTCCAAAAAAAATTAGTGGATAACAAAATTTTCGTGGATTCCGAGCTCAAATACCCGTTACATCAATTTCGTCAGCTTATTATTTTTTCCCGGTGTCCGCAACAACAGAATGTAGCTAGTTGTTTCGATTTTGTCAGCTTATTATTTTTCCCGGTGTCCGCAACAAGAGAATGTAGCTAGTTGTTTCAATTTCGACATGATAAGCCAATTTAGCAAAATCTAAGCGGAATCAGCAAATGTAAGCAGTTTCCTCTAGTTTTGCTTACAATTTTCTCGACTGCGTATTTTTTACTGTACAAAAGTATTATTATTTGTTTGTCGATTTGTCAAATTGTTGCGAATTCCGCAAACCCACTTGTTTTTGCAGCAATTTGAGCAAAACAGTACTTAAGCTATCTAATCACGGATTTCAAAAGGGCAAAAAAGATTTTAAAAAATAGCGATGTTGCGGTTTCTGCGCCAAATCTGTTTTCGACCTGTTTGCGGAATTTGCTTATCTTTTACAAAACCAAACAGTTTGGCCTGGTAATTATTTTTTTTATGATCTAGATGCTTTATTCAGTTGGCGGCAAAATGTTTATTGGATGCTTAAAGATGTATCCTTCAAAAAAACCTATATGCAACTTATGGTATTTTTGTTCCTTAAAGTTTTGTTTTTTTTTTCCGCAAAAAGACTGTTTTGATCTAGAAATGCAAAATCGGAAAATTAGACAATAGGAGTTTTTGTTCGTATACCAATTTTTTGCAAATTCCACCACAAACCTTAAGTTTCTAAGATTTTTTACTGCTAAAAGTGTCTTCGAAAATTTTCGTAACAATTTTTTTTCGTAAAGTATTTTATAGAGGAATCGCTGATTTGTTTTTGTTAAATTTTTTGCAGGAAAAAACTTGCTTACGCTAAAACTTGATACTGCTCTCTTTGACTCTTGATTTCTTTCAAAATCATTTCGTTTAATTTCTTGAGAGGAAGCATTTCGTTTAATTTCTTGAGAGGGAGCTATTGTTGGAAATTTTTTCTACTTTTTCTCAGCCAATCACAATTGAATATTTGAAAATCTCAAAAAATTGCAAATATCTCACAGAAAACGATTAAATCCAGCCCATTAAAATGAATGATGAGTAACTAGAAAACAAGCAAATGAATGAATTTTCACATCTTGCAAAATTGAAGTCGATTGGAAAAAACCTTAAGCCGATTTCGAAAAAATTTACGTAAAAGCAGAAGCCGTATTGAATATCTACACGAATTTGTGCTGCAAAATCGACCAAATTAATATCCCATGAAACCGTTCAAGGGAAGATATTAACTTGGTTCGGAGTTTGAATTTTGAGCCAATCAGAATAGGGCATTCTACGCGCAACGCTCAGTAAGTTTCATTCAAATTTAACGCTGAGGTGCAGGATCTTAACTTGATCTATTTGTGGGAGGATGTTAACTTGATCTAATGAAAACCTGGTCTAATGAAAACGTACTCATTCTATTTTTCTGTTTATAATGACTTGGGTTTTGTGCAAAAATAATTTAGCAAATAGGAGCTTCTAATGATTTTAATTGAATAAAAGCTTTGCATCATTCGGTCCCTCCATCATGAGAATACCCCTTAAATTGGGTTAGGTTTATCAAAAAAGTGTCAGTTAAACACTTTTTCTTGAAATTGAAAGAGGTTTAAGATCATGTATTTTCTTCGGAAAGCGAGAGATGATTTTTTTTTCAAAAACAAGTCAGTATTTTTTTTCTATTCGCGGCATTGATGACTTTTTTTCCGAATTCCGGTTGGCTATGTTCTTAAAAGCAAAATGCTTTTGTAAAGCTTTTTTGCCCGGTCAATAGAGTAAGAATTGTCTTTTGTACTGACGCTACTGAAGAAGAGAGGGCCATGTTGTAGAGCGCTAAAGTGTCCCAGCCTTCGAGGAAGAGGTCATGGGTCTGCATGTATGCCACTCTGTTCTTCAGCTCATCATCGAACATCTGAGGACAGACTTTGGCAAAGGTGTCTTTGTCTAAACAGATGGTAATACCCTCCTATCTAAATAGACCGAAAGATCGAATTAACATCCTCCTCCCTCAGAATGGACCAAAATAAAATCCTTTCAACTAAAAACAACCACCTCATTAAATGCACTAAGTTAACACCCCATAACCTATATAGACCAAAAGGACATCCCCTAAACATACCAAAATAACATCCGCTCCCTTATTGTAGGCCAAAAAACCTCCCCATAAAAGGACCAAGTTAACACTTTCCCCCTAAGCATTTTTGAGGGAGGGTGTGAGCTTGGTTTTAAGTTAAAAATTTCAGCCGACCAGAATGAGAATTTTGAAGCACTTAGCAGAATTAATTCAAATCAAACGCTGTGCTGGAAGATTTTAACTTGGTCTTTCTGGAGAAAAGGGCAGTGGTGTTAAGATCTTCCAGCCAGAATAAATTTACCATAACAATAGCCTCCCCCCAGATCAAAGAACACCCACCAGTGGTGGGTGTTATTTGGTTTAGGTAGATGATAGTGTTTTCGTCCACCTTTAATTAGACTAAAATATAACCCTCCCCCATAAATAGATCAAGTTAACATCCAGCCATCAATATAATCCAATTTTAAATCCACCAGCCCAAAATTTAAATTGTATTAAAATTGCTTAGATCGTCACATTAAATGCTGTTTTCTGACTTAGGCTGAAAATTTCAACCATGGTGACTAGATTGATCTTTTTGCTGCCTACCTATGCAGAGTAACTCGCACGGCTCGCGAGCAACCACTGTCGCTTTTCGGCTGGTGTCGCGAAGAAGGGCCACTTCGCCGAAAGCTTCTCCCCTGTTCATGTTTTAATTGTAAAGGCTGTTCAAATCTGAGTTGAAGAAAACTGAAGTGCATTTTGCAGATCTGCGAAGCGGTGATCATCTTCACATTTTATTTGATTAAGTAGTAATTAAACAATCTTAAGGGACAACCAAACGTTATACTTATTTTAAAAACCTGTTGTATTTAAAATTTTCAAAAAAAAGCATAAAATAATCTTTGTCCTTGTTTTCTTTCACAATTTCGACTGGGCAGCAAAATTTTTGTTAAAAAAATAGAAAGGGCCTTTGCAAAGTTTCGAGAAAATTTTAGATCGGCTGTGATTTGATTTGAGCCAATGCAAACTTTCAAACTAATATCAAATCAACGCAAGTTTGATTCAACGCTAGTTTTCAAGCAAGTTTCCAAGTCAATTTTTTAAGCCAATTTTCGAATCAAATTTTTCAAGTTTTATTTGAGTCGAGATTTGAACAGCCCTGGTGAGGATGGCACGTGTCTTCTGGTACTGTGTCTTTTTCCGGTCGTTTCTCGTTTCTGTCTTGTTGATGAACACTGACCCCGTGTAGATGAAGTAGAAGCCTTGACCTTTGTGACCTTCCCGCAGGATGACCCGCATTGACTCTATTTCCATCAGAGTGCAGGCGCGAGACAGCTCCAGCTGAAATCATAATCATTTTGGGGAAAAATTAATCCGTAGATTCAGAACATACTTTTAGATGATTTTGAAAAAAACCCATTCCACAAGCTAATCTAGGATTTTCTTTTCGAGGGGGGGGGGGGGGGGGGGGGGTGGGGGTTTCAGACGACTAGAGGACCTTTTTGCGTGAACCTTTACTTAATTTTAATAAAGCTAGATTTTTGTGAAAATTGGAATGCGAAATGACGGCAAGTTAGTGCAAAAAAGTGAAACTGAGTTTATTGAAATCTGGCTATTAAGTTATGCAATAACTCGTAGAAACAACATACCTGAACTTTTTGAGTGAATTTTTCGAAGTGACTCAATCCTCGAAACATATCATGCAACTGTTTCACTTCCAACTTACTCCTATCCGACGGGGCTTTTTGTAGAATTATTTTGGCCCATTTTGGCAATTTATTCTGTTTTTTCTGTGGTTCGAAGGCCCCTATGTCAAACTCGAACTTTTTCCTTTTATGTTCGACTAAAAAGTTTTCTTCCCATTGCAGCTCAAGTGATGATCTTTCTGTTTTTGACATGGAGAAAGCAACTAACGATTTGTACCATCTGTAAATTAGCATGATTGCTCTCGCTCGCGTTTTGAATAAAGTTTTAATATGAACTTTTCGCTTCTCGATTTCCTCAGTGTTTTCGCGGTTCTTAGCTAGGGTATGCAGGGCTTTGTTTTTCCATCTGATGACCCTAAATGCCATTCGAAGTGAGAAGTACTGGGCCAATACAGTCGTTGCTTGATTTCGTGACCTCTTATGAAATAAGAAGTCTTGAGGGGTCATTCTTTTCAACCTTCGCTGTCTGGATTCTTGACGAAGAGATTCAACTAAATAAAAACCTCTTTGGTCCAACTATTGTTCCCATACTAAATTTATATCACACCATATAACGTGCAGTTTAATTTGCGTTTGTGCAAAGGATCCAAATATCTCTTTACATTGGTACTTTTCCCTTCATTATTTAGATAATTCCTACCAAAATTTCCATGAACAGTACACTAAGAATATTCGTAAGGTTCTTGATTGTTTCAATTTGATGGTTTTGTATAACATTTGAGAAATTATCAAGAAAAAAATTTAAAAAGTGTCTTCTTGCTTACAATAATAGCACAAAAAACAAGAAAAAACCTTGTGAAAATGTTTGAAAACATTAAGAAAATAACTTAAAGGCGGTTTTTTTTGAGTATGACTGTGTTTTTAGATCTTCTAACCCAAATCCTGAGGTGTGAGCGCCCCTCCCCTTTCTGTGTCTCGGTACCTGCCCACCTCAGCCATAGCCATCCATCTGTAGTGCTCACTCGAATGCACAGCCCCAGGCGTCGTCATCGACCGTTCATCCAGCCGAAAGTGGGCGGGAGCCGAAAGGTGGCTGGCTGCTGTTTGAGGTCTGCTGATTGAGGTAGTCGTGAATGATGAGGTTCTCGGTCTAGCTATTCGGCTAGTTGCACTGTTTATCCTCCGTCTCGAGTGTTTGGGCGGGGAGGGGGAGCGGATGTAGGTTAGACCGCTGCAAAAAAATGAAACATGTTAGCTAAATGGATCTAAGATTTCGGGCCGAAATGTGATCAAATTAGGATCTTTGTATTGGTTTAGGAGAGCTCAGATAATCAATTTGGTCGATCTTAAAAAAGTCGACAAAATTTTCAAAAGTTTTTTGAAAATCCGCCCCCCCCCCCCACCCTCGATAAATTCCTAGATCCGCGCCTGATTTCGGCAATCGGTGTGTTTTCAAAAACGAAGCCTTTATTCATTGAGGAACAGTTTAAAACAAAAACGAAGCCTCTATTTCTCTGGATCTTGAGTATAAAATTTCTATGCTTTCTGGATTTTCTGAAAATCTGTTTAGTTTGATCAGATTTTTTTTGGGTTACATCTTAAATTGCCATTTTTAAAAGTTGCTTAATTTGCTATTAAAATGTATAAAATTAAAAATTGGAGTTTTTGTGAAAAAAAAATGTTTGAGCAATTTTTTTACCTCATTCTGGCGACAAAAGTCGGCCGATACTTGACAACATCGTCAATATCGTCTTCTATCACACTTTTGCTTTTCAGCTCATCACTCGGCGACACGACTCTGATCTCCGACTGTTTCCTTGGATTATTATATGACTCACTTCTCTCGGCTAATAAATCCACTCGTGGTAACGAGTAGCGACCCGAGTTGAGACGTGAACTACTAATTCGACCAGCACGACTAGTCGGGGCGTTTTCACGCGGGGGAACGACTGCTCTTTTGAAATTACCCTTGCCCCCTTTAAGTTTTGGATAATTTAGTAAAATTTCGTTCGGAGTTTGTTTTTGCATGACACTACGTTCAATATTTTAAAAGTAATTTTCAAACTTGATAACCAAAAAGTAAATGTCATAAATTTTGCTGTTTTGAGTGCTTTTAAAGAAAGTAAATAGTGCTAATTAAATCCGGTTATAATTTTGAGAGTATTTTCGAGATGGTAAAATTAATGGCCTGCACAATTTAACGCGTGCCGAATTATGAAAACGAACATTTTGACGAGTTCATTAAAGTTTCTCGAAAAAAATAACTGCCATCTTACAAAATGTTTTATGTTATTAATAAAAACTTCATTAAACAGTTGAGCAAATCTTACGAGTGAACGTGTAATAATAACGTGAGTATCTCTCAAGTTTTACTTGATCATGCATTATTCTATAGTTTACATGAATACCTTTACTACTGAGCTTTGCTCCAAATGGTTTTAAAATCGAAGTGAAAAACTTGGTATTACCTCGATGAAAATTTTTGTGTTGCAAATCACATTTACAGGTAGTTGTTTTTTTGCAAAAAAATCGTTGAATGTGATTTTGAGCGCGCATTTAAAGAGCTAAAACAATTCAGTTTTGATGCGATTTATGGTCTGATCTCTTAATCCGGTTGTGCGTCCAGACAATAAATCACTCTAACAAAACAGAGAAAGTTCTTAGCCATCTCAAAACAGATTTTGCAAAAAGTTATTGCCAAACTAGTTTGCAAAACGTTGAACTGCAGGGGCTTGAATTAACTGCTGAAAAAGATTGTATCTCCAGCTGCAAATACGCCACTTCATGTCTTCAGATTAAGAAATGTAGATTTTTTTTCTAAATTGTATAAAACTAAGAGAAGTTTGTTATTTTCAACACAAAAAATAAAGTTTCTTTACATTTTCTGTCCCATCACGTAACTTTCTAAAGCGCAAGAGGTTTCCAGCTGAAATATATATTTTTTCTAAAATAAAACCTTTTCTAGTTTTTTTTAAACAAATATGTTTCAAGAAAACAAGTGTTTTCTTGGATAAAGTAATCAAAAGTGAAATCTCTCTTAATCAGCTTAATCAAATTCAGTCCATAACAAACTGGAAGCTAAAATAAGCTAATTTTATAAAATAGGCACAACCTAATACCGTGTTTTTTTTGCATTTTTATTTAGGATTTAATTCTATCAAGTTTCTGATAAATTTGTTCAAATGCCAGCTGGGTTCACAAAACTGCCTGTCCTACAAATCCATGAAAAATAACTGTATGATATTGGCATACAAGCAATTTGCTATACAAATGATTCCTGTGACAAGCAATTTTTTTAAAATAAGGCTTAGATTGATAAGCATTTCGTCATATTATCGAATTGTATAACAAACGATTTTTCCATAAGTTTTTTTATCATAAGTTTCGTTTGACACATTTGTTTTTTGCCCGAAAGAACGATAAACAAATATTTTAACTCCAACTGGTTAAGTGAAAACCAACCGGTTAAGTGGCACAAACCTTACAAACTTAAAGAAATTTTTTGATTAAACATTAGTTCTAGTTTAATTAAACGTACCATTTTGTTTTGATAGATAGCCTTAAATTATTGGCATTGTAATTTCCAATCAACAAATCTTAACGAATTTAATTCATATAAATTGCTGATATTGACGTTGGATTTCAATTTCTCAGTCATTTTCATACCTAAGAACCGCGTCACAAAAAGCTAATTTACCTAAGATTATAGTTTTTGATCGATTCAAATGCTCAAAGCGACCGATAATGCCAGCAATTTAGCATGAAGTTTAAATTACCATTGGAATATAAGAAATGACTTTGGTTTCACACAAAACACTCTTTGTAACTTTTAATATTTTTAGTACAAAAAATTGAGTTTTGATTACAGAAAAAGCAAAAGTTACACTATTGCATGCATTTTTTTCCGAAAAAATTTTGTTTGAGCATAGCGCGGATTTAAAATATGTGTAAGGTTTTTAAATCATTTATGGAGTAATTTTTGTTTGATAGAATAATGCTTGCCATACAGTTTTTTAGTGATAAATTTTCGACGAAAAACCGAATCATACATTTCCATTTTCAACGAAAGTCATATCATAAGATAAACTATATACGAACAACCAAATCATACAAAGATTTTGCAATGGTTTCTGAAAAAAATTTATTCTTTTCGAAAAAGAATATCATTTATATGTCATCTGGGAAAATTGCAAATTATGCTTTTCTCATCACTTAATGATGTTTTTTTTCAATTTCTAGAAATCTTCAAGTCCGACAAACTAAAAAAATTAATTTTTAAAACTGAATTGTGCTTTAGGTTTTTTGTATAGAGCACAGCCTAGAAATTTCCAACGTTTATTTGTTCTATCGGTAAGTCATGTTTGGCTTATTATGAAACTAAATGGTTTTGAATTTTCCAAAAACTGAAAAAAATGATTGGCTGAGAGTTTTCCTTAATGATTTTTG